ACCCTTTGACACTGAAGGGCAAACGGTAATGTGTGTGTGGCATCAAAATCTATGGTGTGTTGATAGGTATGTCTCCATGGAGCCACAGACCACTATGGCTCATTTAAAGCACCGGCCACTGGAGGCATAAAGCAGGGCAGAAATTTGAACTCAACAAAAGAAAATATATTGACACAACAGGTGCACTCTTTGCATCATATCAAGAAACAATAGTAAAATACTTCAAAAAGTAGTGCTGACAAAGATTTGGTTTGTGTTTAGTCTAACATCTGAACCATCAGGTTCAACACTGATAAGAGACCCTATGTTAACCAGCTTAGCTATCATGGCAGCAGCCCTTTCAGCCGTTGATAAGATGCAAAATGGCATTGTAGGTGATATCAAGGCACCAGTCTTCTGACCTTCCAAATCAGCTAAACAAATGCAGCAGATTCTGCTGACTCTGTAGGAGCACTTCAACTCAACATCTTGCCAATCTGCAACGACCGGTTAAATTCCATGAAGATTAAATATCATGGTCAGATTCTTGTGGATTAGACGAGAGGTTCAGCGCTGGGATGTTTTGGCTACCAGTAAGATTACCTGCTATGTGGTCTTCCTCTCAGTCCAAAGTCCTGAGCAAACACACACACAACCAAACCAAGTAATGAATGTACTGTGTAAGAAGATGACACCACAACAAAAGTCTCATTAAAACATTTATTTTAACGAGCAAATAATAGTTCCTCACCCGTCGCAAAGTATAATCACCTTTCTGGAAGACAACAATTAGGATTCTGATTTCTGAGAGAATTGTAACACTGACACAATATCTAACTTCCACCTCCATTACATTGGTGTGTTACAGCTGAGAGTGTACAAAATTTCAATGGCCAAATATTTAATTTGTGTCATTTGAGCAAATATAAAGCTTTCCTCGGCATAGACCAGTCTGACAAACGATGGAGAAACAGTGGAATTTCTAAGACTTTTTTTTTCTTTTACACTGTTTCATGTGCAGGGCTGCAGTGACAGTCTTTTTTCCCACTGTAATTATATGCAAAGAGTATGCAAAATAAATTATTCGATGCTTCCTTAGCACATACGTGCAAAAGGGCACTACTAAAAATTGTTCTCTCGAGGGAGGATCTAATAGTTTTGTCCTTAGCTGTACATTAAGGCTGGTGAAGCAAAGTGAGCATGTGCTTATTTAAACCACTGTGACGTCAGCTCAGCCTAGAAAACCGTGAGTCACCATGTCATGTAAAGTGGATCTAGACACACAGAAGCACATAGAAATGGTGCAATATATAGTTAAAATGAATGAACAGCACACAAGGCCCTATACTAAGTATTGCAATATTTCTAAAAGCCTGTAAAATTCTAAGTTAGTAAATGTGTTTGAATAGATCATCACAAAACTTAATCCCCTGACTGATTAAACCGATCCCTGCAGCAATAAAAAAACTCCTGTAGAAAATCTTTACCATATTAAAAGTCTATTAAAGGGCAAGGATGAGATAAAAATCCAAGCTTCAGCCAGAGTACAATATTTGAACACAAAGATGATATTTCAGCCATTACTGCTGTCAGGAGAGCAGAATGTAGTAAATGCAATGAAGGGATGAATACGCACTGTCATGTCCACAGACTATGAACTGGTGCCAGAATTCTCTTCGCCGTCTGCTCACAGCGTGCCAATCTGTCACATCCTTGTTCATTTCCTGCCCCTCACATGATACACTGTGTCTGAGCTGAAAATACACACTGGTTTTGTCACAGATGATCCTGTCACAAGCATTTACGCACAGAGTGTGACGACTGCTAACAGTGACAACGTAAGCTGTAGGCCAGGCATTCTATCAAACATGCATTCGGCACTTCCTTTAACTGTGCTAAGTTTGTGGGAAAGTGAGAATAATGTTCACAGATAACACTGACCAGTGCTAGGTGAAGGTCAGTGCAGGTGGGATTAGTCATGCGCAGGTCGTCCTTCGTGGGTCCGTGAGCAAGTAGCACTAAATGAGTGTAGCAGAGGTGCTGAGGGTGTATCAAATTGCACTGGGTGAGAAAGAATGCCCCCCTAAGTCATAAATCAGTGACGGGGCAGAATTTCACGCCTCTCTGAAGCTCAGCAGGCCTGTTTATACTGACGCAAGTGGCAATCGATAGACTGCCGCTAATGTCCAATCTGTCATTAACACACAAAATGCAGTATTTTATATACTCTATTGTATACTAAAAGCATTAGTATAGGTGTACTTTTTTTGTAAGGTTTACTCAATATATAAAAACGATTACCGGTAATTTAATTCTGTTGGTTTCTTTGTTTTTTCAGTGTGCCCAACATCATTATCAAAAAAGTAACTTTGACTAAATGTACTTTTGGACTTAATAGTTTTATTGTCCCTAACTAAAGTAATAAATTAGTACTGAGCAAATTTCTGCAGAGAAAATAAATACAAACTGGGGACAGAGGGTTTCTGTTTTGGATCAATCTAAAGGCACAAACTGCCCAGGAAAACAAGATCTGGGCCATAAATTTCAACGCAATTTCCTTGGCAGACAAACCAAAATGAGGAGCTGCACAAAAAAAACACAAGCTAAGTGTCCAGCAAATAATTCATGGCAGTCTGGCCAGGCATTAGTCAATTGCCCTGGGACAGACACAAATAAGTTTTCAGCCCGTTAAAAGGCCTCCTGTTGTTAGGTCATGCAAAAATAAACACACATAAAAAGGCAATGAGTTGACTCAGATGTTATTATTCAAATTTTGTGAAATGAAAAAAGTTTTTTTTTTTCAGTCAATCGACTGATCATTAATAGGAACAATTCCGAGCAAACAATGGAGAGCAAACAAACGATTGGGACTTGTGTCTTTACTGTGTGTGTCCACGTGCCTCTGGGAGTTCCTGTGTGTAAGAGGCTTTAGTTTCCTCACATAAACAACAAACATACACTGATCTGGAGTACCTGTGTGGGCCACACTCTGTGAGCCTGTAAGGACTGTGCTCAAATTTGTACAGTTATAGGAAACAACTACTTGGAAGGATTACAGCAACAGAGGAGTTGTAGTTCAACTAAAGCATTTCCCCTTTTTTTTATATAAGAATAAAAAACATTAACAATTGTCCCTTTAGTTTTGGTTCCTGATGTGTTGGAGATTAATTAACTTTAACATTACCTAAACAGCTCAAGTTACATCGAAGTTCATTAATTAAAACCAATTAGAGTAAGCCTCAGACAGCCGAAAGTTTTAGACATGGTTCAATATGGTCAGCTGTAGGACAACTCCAGAGTGAAGATACACAGAGAGGACACAGAGACTTGACAATATTTCACATTTTCATTGTTCAGTACTGCACTCTGCCCACTAATGCTGATAAGCGTGTGTGAAAGGAGGTTTCCTTATTTTAGCTCCATGAATAAATGACCAAACATTACATTAAAAACGTGTAGAATATTACATGGAAATATCATAAATATCTGTGGCTTAAATATAATAAATCATTATCTATTGTTCTTTTATTTAATTAGCATTAATCATTAATTGTGATTATTTACAGCATGTAGATGGAGACAAGTTAGTCTGGATAAAGCAACAAAGGTATCATGAAACAACTCAACCTTCCAAGTAAATGACAGCAGGATAAAAAGTATCTTTATTTTAAACAATGATAAAATAATTATAAGTTGATCGCAAACTTCAAATTAAAAAAATGTGTTCTAATACTTAGAAAGGACGTTGTAGAGATTTTGTGTTGTTTAATTTCTTCCGCTACTCAACCACAGCCCCTAATCATCCATGTGGTCCTGGTGACGTCTCCCTCCTCCAGCCCCAGCCCCAGCCCCAGCCCTATCTGCTCACAACAGGAAATCATGACTCCCTAAAACCTGTCCTTTACTCCTGGCGAGAAGCCAAGCAAAGAAAAACAATCATGAAATATAAGTTGCGTTTTGAGCTTGTCTTTTCTTTCCCCAAGCTTTTCTTTTTACTTTCAACTTTAGCTTCCTGAATATCAATATTTGACTTCTACGAAAATCCTATGATGTCGTGAATGTTCAGGTGTAAAGGGAGTTTCACAAAATGTGTTTCCAAATCTACATTTTATTATTTACATTCCTCAAAAGTAAACAGTATGTCCCAGTTTTAGTTGTGTTTCAAATCAAGCTTTTGACCATGTGTGTAAGTTAAGGGTTAAATAAATAGTCAGTTTGATGACTCTAATGCCACTAATGACAGATTAGTAAAGATGATCCTTGTGTATTGGGCTGTGTACCTTCCCATGATGTGGTGATCACTGGAGCATTAGAAAACTAACTCATCAGCAGCCAGATGTCTTGAGGACCTGAGGTCCTGTAGACGCAGTGGGGCTGAGAGGATTCTTATCCGCAGCTTCCCGATCTTTACTATCAGGTTATCCCAGTGGGGTTCACCTGATAATGGTAGCCCAGGTCCCGGACATCTCTAGACCACACTAATGCCATTAGGTACCTCATTACTTCCACTGGGTGCTGGCCTATCACCTAGTTGCAACTCAAAACTCCCGGCAATTACTACTGTCTTACAGCCGACTAGGGAGTCGTCACAGACTACTGTCTACGAGAGTGGGAGCCAACATATGACAGCATGTGCTTAATAATGATTACAGCAACAAATAATGAGCATGAAAAGACTATAAAATGTAAATCAGAACATTTTTAGCCACAAGTGCGACTTTATTTACTTCCAGAAATGCAAACTTTAATTTGAAGCTACTTTTTGAATTTCCACCTATAGTTTAACCAACTGAAGTAGTACATTTTTGTCTACATAATTTTGAGAAGCAACAGCCTTTTATACTGTCATTGTATAAAACTAACATCTAACATGTCTAACATGTCTTTGGAAGCGAAACAGATTACTGTTTCTAGTTCAGTAGTTACTTCTATTTAAGAACATTTTATTAATTAATCAATCTTCTGATATGATATATGATATTCTCATTGTAAAGAATTTAATGATAATATTTGCATCCTACCTCGTTCCACCAAAAAGGATAATCCGATCTCCCACCATGCAACAGCACTGCCGTCTTCGGGGGCATGGGCCTTTTCCCATGGGTTCTATTTTCTTCCACGAAAAGGCTTCTACAATGTGTATAAAAAAGGAGAAAATAAAGTAGTTTAGTAGTATAACTTCATCCAGGAAAGATCTGAGGATTTGAAGTTTCAGAAGAAACAGTCAAAAGAAGCTAGGTACAAGGCTTGCTTGAATTTTTTCCTAAGTTGTGTCTCTGAAGAAATTGGAGAAACAAAGTCAAACCCTTGTGTGAACACAAACATTAAAAGAAAGAACACAATTGTTTCCTTTACTCTGCTCGAGTGCTGTCAGTGATGATGACGCAGCTGCCTCCATTGTTCCATTTAAGGACACACTGAGTGGCTTCAGTTTCCAACTCTCAAAACCATGAGCATCATTGCATCGCTATAGCAACAGTGCATTCAGGAAACAACTGATTTTTACTGAGGTACTGCCATCTGGTGGATGGCCAGGTAGGATCATTGTGTCGAAGCACAATTTCTTGGGATTATCTAAGAGTGGAAAATCATTCTTCACAAACTGAGTCGACCAAAACCACCAAAAACTGAATCACCTGGATTGAATTTCCAGAGGTCATTGAAGTGCTGGTCTAGGCGAGCATTGTATCCTCCAAATATATACAGCTCTCCATTGTAGCAAACTGAAAGGAAAAGAGGAAACGAGTTATAGATCTACAATCATGAATAGTACACGAAGGTCACATTTTATAATTATTGCAGTATTCCTAGCTTTAATCTGTGTTTTGTATAAGCATATCTTTGAAAAGTATTTACTAAAAACTATGAGATTCTTAATATTTTTTAAGGCACTGCACATTGTGACATCAGAAAAAATATCATGGGGACAAATAGTACAGTTTGAAGATCAACTTGACCTACTAGGTGGCCACTCATCCAGGACTAAACTAATTAAGATAATGACATTTTCAATTTCCTACGTTTATTTTTCGTTTTTACCTCACCACCTGGGACTGTATTGGTAACTGTGACAACAGATTTTCTAACATTCTTTCCTGCAGTGGAGACAACAATGCTAAGAACATAACATTTTCAAACATGTTTAACAACCAACACGTTACTGAGCCCATCTCCAGTATTGGCACAGATCCAAATGTACACCCGAGGCAATTATGACATGTCGGCAGCGAGGTGACTGGTGATTGCAACAGCTCTTTACATTTCAGAGATGCTGAACATTTTTGACGAAGAGTGAAAAGTGACGCCAATGCCCCCTGTGGTAGAGGTGTCATCTGAGGACAGTAACAAGATCATGTGACCATTTACAGAATGAGTAATTTGATATTCATTTATTTCGGTCTAATCCAGAGGGAGTATACTGTATGTCATGTGGAGACCGAAGGGCAATCTAAGTCAAAAGTGATATTGTGTGCACACTCAAATGGAAATTTGAATGCTTTCCTTCCCTTCATATTTCATTCTGGTTATTTAAATTACTCATTACTCAAACATTGAATATGCAAGTTTTGACCTTGAACTTAAATGCATTCTGGATGATTTTCCTTCAACCACAGGACATCAAACTGCTGGCCCCATTGTTTGTATTAAACCACACAATGACATCATGTGTCTGAACACAAACATAATTATTTTTTTAAACAAAAAGGACTAAGCACAAATTTCCATCGTCTTTTGAATCAGAGTGTGACATAGAAATAAAGAGAATTCTATGAGAAAAAAAACATTTCCAGTACAACAGAATTTACTGTTATGTTACATGTCTTCATTTCCAGTACAAGGAATGGCAGAATTTACTGTTATGTTACATGTCTTGAAAATAATGAGAAACTTGTTCATTATTGTGGATTCATGCAAATGTCTTACAGGCAGAATGACTCCTGCGTCCCTCTGGCAGTGGCTGTGTTGAAGGCGTGCTCAGCCAGCAGTTGGTCTCAGTGTCAAATACTTTGATCTTGTTGCAATAGATTTCGTTGTTGGAGTGGAAAGGACCGAAACGATCTGCTCGACCCCCAAATACAAACATCTTTGTTCCGATGATTGTGGCTGAGTGGAAGTCTCTCCAACGTGCTGGAGTGCCCTGTGAAGAAAATGTCAGTGAATAATGGGATGGATTTCACGAAACAAACAAACAAACAACAAAAAAAAAGCATTTATTGTAAATTACTGCGTTCTTCTCCTAGTTCAAAGCTTTATTTTGAACATAAAACGCCACTCATTACACTATGAGGGTATCCACAAGCTGTGTAGAAACACCACCATCTAGTGGATGAAATTGCAACAAAAATGCTGGAAAGTGAAACATTCTAACTTTAAAGAACAACGTCCCATTTAGCGAATGTGAAATGACACCGAAACAACAATAGATCATCAGTGACACTGACTGAAGGGAACAGCAGATAACCTGTAAATGAAATGTGAACTGCATCCTATTATTAGAACGCCTCAACAAAGGCGTTCTTCCTCTTTCTTTGCGTTTCGTTGGCGTAAAGCCAGCACAAAGCGTTCCACATACATTGCATTTGAGAATGCACTTGTGTTGTTCCACAAAAGGTACCCTGACAGTAGTAGTATACTGCTATATAATACTAATACTGCACATTAACTGTATTCGATAAGGACAAATTATGACATTTTGACAGATCTTTTTACAAAATGTTATTGCTTTAAAGGCAGACATGTAGCAGCCGTGTAAGATGAATAATACATCTAATGTATGTGTTATATGTCTAAGTACATGAACAGTAACTAATCTTTAATAGGCCATCTTTTAATAGTCAGTCCAAATATAGGTCATTATGTTCTGTGGTTAACTTCTTTCACAATCAAGTTTCTCTGTAAAATGTGGGTTTCAATCAAAAAAGTGATCTTTGGAGATATTTGGGCTGAGCTCCAGATGAAAAGTACATGAGGGAACAGTTTATTTAAATAAAGCTGTTTTAAACTGAATTTTTCACCCAAGCTTCATTCATGATTTCCATCAGGCAGCAATGATGTTAAACCTTTTCATCGACTCAACAACCCTAACCTACGCTACTATGCAGAATGACCCTCACTGAGGTCAGACACAATATTTTTATCTGTTATGATGATCACTATGCTGGTGTCATAAATCCATGCTCTATCAACAGAGTTGACAGAGACGACGGTATCTGACCTGGCAAATTATCACAATATACTGACAACATCAGAAGAAGTAACAAGTATTTACATGTGATACTTGTTGCGTTGTTGTTGAGAACTTTGGTTAAAAAAAAAAACACACATTCCACACTGTTAACTTTATTGTTTTTTAAGGTTTGCTGTTATTATGTTGTGCAGTATTCCAGGCATGGCCTTGAAGGTTTGCAAAGACACTTTGTTGGATGAAATATGTTTTTGACAGCTCATGTGTTCTCAATACAGTGGTTACTTTATCCTGCAGCGCCCTTCTTTCGTAGATGTGACTATAGTCAAGCCCCTACAGGTCGACACAGTCAAAGCTATTGCTTCAAATTCCAATTGCACTTTATTCAAAACACTACAAAAGATTTAAGATTTAAAAAGAATTAATCTTGCTGCAGCCCCACACTATGATGCTTGCCTGTACCTCAGCTAGGCCTGCCCCCCACTTTTGGAAACAAGGTCTCAGTTGGTCACATAAAAATTAAATATACTTCATTTATTGAGGCTTTCAAAATTTTGGAACTACAAAAAGCAAAAAAAAAAAGATTTTGCGCTTTGAAAATGTAGTAAAACTAAAACTTTAGTCATACAAAAGGCAAACAGGCTTTCAGAGTTTTCACTAACAAACTAAAAATTGTTCATACATCAACTTAGTTCAAAATTGAGAATAGAAACACACCCCAGAGCAATTTCACCACAAACTCCATTTCTTGATTTACGCAGTTTGAAAACTAGCACCCATTGTTGCATTTTTGCAGATCTATTTTAGATTAAAAGAGATTATTTATTCAAAACACACTAAAGAACTGAAGTTTTATTTGTTGCCAGAAGAATAAATAAAGTTGGTAACTTGGAACTCACCCTTGCATTAATTAGTGACCAAATCATGCAGGTGGTGTCCAGTTTGTGTATATCATTGGAGAAGCAGTCAGCCTGAAAGACATCAGGGATGAATTAAAACTGTGTTTTAATGTTCAGGGAGCAGACCACACCACAAGGAGTCATGACTAAAACTCACCAGCTGTTCATATCCTCCAAATATATACATTGCTTTTTGCAGGACGCAGGCTGAGTGGCCATCCCTCGCCCCCGGAACGGTCCCTGAAATCTTGGGTGTGAACCACCTGTGTGTGTCTTTAAATGGAGAACACTTCATAAGTCTTTGAACACTCAGGTAAATGATGTCAGTACTTCTTGATTTAGATTAAAAGAGTCTCACTGCATAAACAAAGACTACAATAAAAGTACACGCAGGTGTTGAAAAAAATAAACAGTTGCTCTCCTTTTTCTTTTCCTGTGACAACTGTAGAATCTTCAGTCTGGTGCACCTGGAGGAAATGCAGCATCAAACAGCACTAACTAATATGTGAGGGTGTACTTACTGACATCAAAAGCATAGAGCACATTGCAGGCCCCCTCTGTGTCATTGCGCCCACCCCAGAGGTAGATAGTGTCATCCAGCAGCACAGCTGTGTGGCCGTAGCGCATGTATGGCACTTCCCAGAGCCGATCTTGTCCTCCTGTCCTCACTGGAGGCAACTTCATCCAGCGCAGAGACACTGAAGTGTAAAATTTAAAAAATTAAATGTTTGAGAAAAGCTCCTATATCTGACTTTTATTTTGACAAAATCTTTACATAATTAGTCTGACATTCAGTATTCATTTGTTATTGGACATTTCAGACGTTGGTTTGAAGCTGTCAGCAAATGATCTAAGAATGGATGTTACACTAGATATAAAAGAAATCTTAAGAGACAGCAGGCACTGTTGTAAAACACACATCAAAAAGAGGGAGCACAAAGCAAGTGACAAGAATAGCTACGTTGACAATAGATAACGCAGCCTCCTTTCCATTTCAATCAGCCAAAAGGATCTCTATCAAGGTTTTTTGTTTCAACAGATCTTTTCATGTTACCACAACAGCAGGTACACACCAGCCACATGAGAAAGTTGTAAAATTTCCATAGCAGGTGAAAAAGAAAGTTTGTGTAGAAAACTGAAAAAAAAAAAAAAAGAACGGTACAACCAAGAAAGAGGGTTGAGAAAACCACAACGGAAAGCTTGAGGTTTTAACTGTCATCTGTAAAGAGCTACTGTTGAACACACTTGTAAACACTTTTTAGACATGCATCCTCCTCTTTCTTCTTGATGATAACATCTCAAAGTATTTATTGAGATTAGTTTAACTCTTCCAATCCCAACTAAACATTTGACATCCAATTTTCCTTGTCTTAATTCTGACCATCTCAACCTTTGGTGTAGTACTGTTTCCTTACATACCTGTGTTAAAGACATGCACGTCAATCTGACGGAGTGTCTCGTAGTCCTCCCCGGAGCAGTAGCCTCCAAAGGAGTACACTTTGTGGCCCACCGCCACAGCAGCATGGTTGACTCTCCGCGGCCCTCCTTCTAGGTGCACTGACCAGCGCAACATTCCACGCGCGAGCACCTCTCCCACTGCCAGTCTTCAAACCATCACTTTGTGACTTCCCTGCATCCCATCAAGCCAACGCCATGGAAATCTGATCATGAAAGACAAGTCGTAGCACTTTAGAGCGTAAACAGATGGGAGGGGCAACCGAGAAAAAAAAAAACAAAAAAATCATTTATTGAGGCTTTCAAAATTTTGGAACTACAAAAAGCAAAAAAAAAAAGATTTTGCGCTTTGAAAATGTAGTAAAACTAAAACTTTAGTCATACAAAAGGCAAACAGGCTTTCAGAGTTTTCACTAACAAACTAAAAATTGTTCATACATCAACTTAGTTCAAAATTGAGAATAGAAACACACCCCAGAGCAATTTCACCACAAACTCCATTTCTTGATTTACGCAGTTTGAAAACTAGCACCCATTGTTGCATTTTTGCAGATCTATTTTAGATTAAAAGAGATTATTTATTCAAAACACACTAAAGAACTGAAGTTTTATTTGTTGCCAGAAGAATAAATAAAGTTGGTAACTTGGAACTCACCCTTGCATTAATTAGTGACCAAATCATGCAGGTGGTGTCCAGTTTGTGTATATCATTGGAGAAGCAGTCAGCCTGAAAGACATCAGGGATGAATTAAAACTGTGTTTTAATGTTCAGGGAGCAGACCACACCACAAGGAGTCATGACTAAAACTCACCAGCTGTTCATATCCTCCAAATATATACATTGCTTTTTGCAGGACGCAGGCTGAGTGGCCATCCCTCGCCCCCGGAACGGTCCCTGAAATCTTGGGTGTGAACCACCTGTGTGTGTCTTTAAATGGAGAACACTTCATAAGTCTTTGAACACTCAAGTAAATGATGTCAGTACTTCTTGATTTAGATTAAAGAGTCTCACTGCATAAACAAAGACTACAATAAAAGTACACGCAGGTGTTGAAAAAAATAAACAGTTGCTCTCCTTTTTCTTTTCCTGTGACAACTGTAGAATCTTCAGTCTGGTGCACCTGGAGGAAATGCAGCATCAAACAGCACTAACTAATATGTGAGGGTGTACTTACTGACATCAAAAGCATAGAGCACATTGCAGGCCCCCTCTGTGTCATTGCGCCCACCCCAGAGGTAGATAGTGTCATCCAGCAGCACAGCTGTGTGGCCGTAGCGCATGTATGGCACTTCCCAGAGCCGATCTTGTCCTCCTGTCCTCACTGGAGGCAACTTCATCCAGCGCAGAGACACTGAAGTGTAAAATTTAAAAAATTAAATGTTTGAGAAAAGCTCCTATATCTGACTTTTATTTTGACAAAATCTTTACATAATTAGTCTGACATTCAGTATTCATTTGTTATTGGACATTTCAGACGTTGGTTTGAAGCTGTCAGCAAATGATCTAAGAATGGATGTTACACTAGATATAAAAGAAATCTTAAGAGACAGCAGGCACTGTTGTAAAACACACATCAAAAAGAGGGAGCACAAAGCAAGTGACAAGAATAGCTACGTTGACAATAGATAACGCAGCCTCCTTTCCATTTCAATCAGCCAAAAGGATCTCTATCAAGGTTTTTTGTTTCAACAGATCTTTTCATGTTACCACAACAGCAGGTACACACCAGCCACATGAGAAAGTTGTAAAATTTCCATAGCAGGTGAAAAAGAAAGTTTGTGTAGAAAACTGAAAAAAAAAAAAAAGAACGGTACAACCAAGAAAGAGGGTTGAGAAAACCACAACGGAAAGCTTGAGGTTTTAACTGTCATCTGTAAAGAGCTACTGTTGAACACACTTGTAAACACTTTTTAGACATGCATCCTCCTCTTTCTTCTTGATGATAACATCTCAAAGTATTTATTGAGATTAGTTTAACTCTTCCAATCCCAACTAAACATTTGACATCCAATTTTCCTTGTCTTAATTCTGACCATCTCAACCTTTGGTGTAGTACTGTTTCCTTACATACCTGTGTTAAAGACATGCACGTCAATCTGACGGAGTGTCTCGTAGTCCTCCCCGGAGCAGTAGCCTCCAAAGGAGTACACTTTGTGGCCCACCGCCACAGCAGCATGGTTGACTCTCCGCGGCCCTCCTTCTAGGTGCACTGACCAGCGCAACATTCCACGCGCGAGCACCTCTCCCACTGCCAGTCTTCAAACCATCACTTTGTGACTTCCCTGCATCCCATCAAGCCAACGCCATGGAAATCTGATCATGAAAGACAAGTCGTAGCACTTTAGAGCGTAAACAGATGGGAGGGGCAACCGAGAAAAAAAAAAACAAAAAAAACAGGCAGTGTTTGGTCTTCTCAGACTGCTTCGCTTTGCTGGTAACAGACTCCCTTGTAGTATCTATACTGGAGGAGTATTTTATGATGTACTTAGTCCTACAGCTTCAACTCTAATTTCTCTCACAGCGCATGTTTCATTCTGCTCTGCTGGAATCCAAAATATCATTTCAAATACTAAGTCAATATTATTTACAAATGTGCTTTCAGCTCTATACAAACAGGGTAAAACAGGCAAAGGAGCAATGACTGGATGGTTATGCAAACAAAAAAACAAGCTATTTCGCAAGACAAACGAGTCTTACAATATAGACTGAAATATTATTATTTTATACAACTACATCTCACATAACTTTTTACTTGCCAAACCACATGTGCCTCTTCTTATTACAAGCCAATGACTCACTTTCTCACTGACCTTCAACCTTTGTTTGTGCTTATAAATAAACCCCCAAAAGACCATTAACATAGAACTTTCTATTTTAGGTATGATCTAAGCAACTGCCAGTGACAATTCCTGGTTTGATTATGGTCATGATGTGTTTCTAAGTTTTCCCTACTTCCTACTGCTCATAAATGGAAGAGCATACTTCCTACAATACAGTAGCCGTCTTGTTAAGGCTATAGAAAAAATATATTTGTATAAAAAAGAAAAAAGGGATTTCCCCTAAATCTTAACAACTGTTTATGCTATCCTTTTACTGCTTTTTTCATAGAGTTGATGTACATCACTGTGAAATCTGATTCCACATCCACATGACCAACTGAAACAGATATTGTTGTTATCACATAACAGGCAACCACAACATCAGAAGGCCTCTCACTGGCTTTGTTGGCAGTCTAACTGCATTAACTAATAGCTTGTTTAGATTGAGTAAATTACTCAACTATTTTGATTATCAATTGATTGGTAAATTACTCAACTATTTTGATTATCAATTAGATCAAGAGATGGTTTTAAACAAGAGATCATCACAAGCAGGTAGTTTTAAAAGGTTTTGTTTTAAGGTGTAAGAGGAACTTGATAACATTTTCTTCCATTTACAGATATTTTACCAAGTTTGATTTAAACAACAACGACAGGTTGGGATAACAAACGATTATTATATTATTTCTGACAAATGATCAATGCTTTACCTCAAAAAAACCTGATTAGAATTGATGTATTTCAAATATAACAGGGTTGCAATTTAAGCAGATTCCCTTGGTTGATTTCTTATTTGTTTCTTTAATAATATAATTATTAAGAATAAGAATATTAATAATAACAAATAAATATGAAAATTAAAGACAAAATCTCGATAGTACAGGGAATGGAGAAAAAAAGAAGCTCACTATAAGAATAAATACAGGTGCACTTTTTGATTCTGCTGCAACACCTCTAAAAGGCTCTCCTATCCTGTCCTTCATTCAGATAATTGATAGATTATCCAAAGAAATTTAGAGTAATGGATTGGCTTGTTTTCTTGAAGACTAACCTCTTGGATTTGAGGTTAAACATCTAAAAACATGCAAAGTTGACTATTGAGACATATGGTATGTGGCATTAACATATTTCCATGTCAAAGTATTGTGTCCTAAAGTTGTACTTTCTTTGCTTGAGGTCAATGCGGATGACCCAGAATTCAAAGCTTTCTAAACTGATTATTTAACGATTCATGGTTGTTTTTCTTATTTTTATAATTGGTATATACCCAACTCTTTTTTTTAAATAATAGCAAACAGATTTTGTTTTTTGTTTGAGGTCCACTTGCATTCCAAGTGATATAACCACTTTCCAAGTGATGGATTAAGTTCCTACACTGAAAAGCTAGTTTGAAAGGAAAATTGGGTTGTAATCTGTTTTGACCATCTTGACGGGGTAATAACACTGACATAGCAATAACATGTGTTTACATCGGGGATCATAACTTTTTGATTTAAAAAAAAACTTCACCGACACAAACATGCTGCGATAAACTGGTTGCCATTTCAAATGCATATTGATAACGACAATCTAGCACTTGACATTGGATGGTAGCGCTGTAGATGTTGTACTGTCTAATACACGCCTGATACATAAGCTAATGAGTAGGTTTAAAAACATTTGCTATTTGCAATTTGCTGTCGTGGCGGCAACGACCAACTGCAATAATCGATTCCTTGCAAGTCGATAACGACAATCGTTTAAATTTAATTGCCAACAGATCCACGGGGGACGTAGTAGGAACCGAGTCAAAAGTGCTATCTGTTAGCATGCTAAACCTGCAGCTGCATCAACAACAGTCATTTCCTACCCGGTTAGCTAGCACACAATAATGTCAACAACAGTGAGACGTGATCTTACTACCTTTCAGAGGTCAAGACGACTCGAATGAAGTCACGTTTAAACGAGAGACGCACTTGTCTTGCGGTGCTCGTTCAAAAAGAACGAACCTTTAATTTCAACCGGTACTGAGTGGATTCAGTAGCAGACGAGTTAGACTCTGTTGTAGCGTCCAGGAAATAGCCGTACCCCTTCACTAGTCCCACCCCGATACAACTATTGCCTCAAGCTATTTATGTAAAATAGATCCTTTCGGTTGCACTACTTGTTTATTGTAATTTTTTAATTGATGTCCTGATTTTTATCTGTATTTCTGCTACTGTCATGGTAGTATATTGGCTATAAAAGCTGTATGAGTAGTCTCTGAACAGTAATATTTCAACCATATTTGAGCCTTGTTTTTTTCTTTTGTTTTTTACATACAATATTCAAACATTTTCATTAAAAAAAAAAATGAAATTCTATTCTTCGACAGAGTACTTCTTAACTGAGTTATGTTCCTGTGGGTAATGCGTGCATTAGCACCTCCCTTCGGCAGTTTTGTTTCAGGTTTAACCATTTTTTAATGGGAGGAAAATGTGCCAGATAATCACTAATTGAGTGCACTGGTATAAAATGTATATAAAAAAATAATATAATCCAGTAACTGAGTCAAAACAGTTTCAAAACAGAAATACATATGTTTTGGGACAGGGACTTTTAGGGAGTTTAAATGTAAAAAAAACTCTATTGTGGCAAAATGTATATATTTGGTGAACATTGTGAAAATTGTTTTGACTTGTGCACCACCGACATCAGGGGCCAATGAAAAAAACAATAGGCTTACTATACTGAATTCTGCGTGATAAACATTATGAAGGAATTCTTTACATTCCTAAAGAGTGGCGTGATTTAAAGTTGGATGCCTGAGTAACTTGTAGTGACTAAAGAAAAATGGATCCCAACCAACCAACATTTACGTACTTGGTGAAGTTTGACTAAATTGCTGATCTTTAATTCTGGTCTGTACTGCCGTGAGGTGAACCCCTGATTGGTTCACTTCTTTACAACTTACTAATGAGTCAATGGTCCCACTTGTATCAAGCTTGAATTGCTGTTGGAGCTGCTTTTGATAATAATATATATTTTAAGTCCATTGGTTTAATTAAATTAGACATTTAACGGTGTGGTTTCACTAACCTGAGCTGACATGTTCTTATCTAGAAATTTTATGTAAACAGGAACTAATACTTCATAAACAAGATTATCAGACCTATCGCATAAAAGATTCTATTTCAGGTCTAACCAGAATAGAGGGCCAACATGTTCAAAGGTAGGTCTGCATTCCTGTAGGTTGGTTGTCTAAGAGTGCAAATGTCCTGTGAAAAAAATCTGCATGAGAAGAATAACCATTAGGAAGTAAAGTCTCAATCTTTGACTTTGTACATCAATGTAAACCTTATGTATATCAGGCATTTGTTCCAGAAAGTGTGTTTAATATTGCAAACAGAGGGAAATAAGGTTTTTAGTTCTTTGTTTATTGTGTATGGTCTCCAGTGACGCTCACTGGAGACATTCAAATCCCTTCAACTGATGCAATTGCAATCAGAAATGTGGATTACAGTGGTTTTGAGTTTAATCCACATGGCCCATGTAAAAAGGGCTCAAGTCAAATAGGTTAGGGGACCAGTGTTTTAACAGACCTGGGTGGTAAAAACGGCTCAGTTGAAGAAACCACTTATCTCAAATTGCTCACAGTTGTAGAAACCCATCTCTCCGGCTCTGTCATTCTCAATTACATAATTAGAGCAGTAGAAGGCGCTGTTACACATGTTTTGGATTGTCCACAAACCTCCAGCCCAGAATGTTTCAAAGAATATGATCTGTTCCAGAGCATTCGTGGTACAGATGCTCTTTAATCTGATACTTTGGTGGCTACATCAACTTCAGCAATACGTAAGCACTTGGACAGTGTTTTTGCTTTAAAGACAGCGTCCCACGGGACATCTGTGTCTTTCATGCACATTTGTTTCAAAAACACACTTAACATAATGGCAGTAGAATATGATTATGTCACTGTATGAAAAGTTCAATTCCATTGACCATATATGAAAATTGTTGTATCTGTTTTCTTTAACCCTTGTTAGTCAGATGTTTGATTGTAATATATGCGACCCACAAGGGGTCAACTGCACAGCTAACGGAAAACTTTGTATGACTGGATATTTAATTTGAGACAATACACTTCAGTACATTTTTTCCATAGTCTTTTTTCTTGTGTTTCTTTTGTTTAATAGTTTCAGGCTTGCTCCAATTGTACAAGAAAAAAAAGGTATTTCATTAACTATTTTAAAAATTGAGAGAAAAATTGTTAAATGACCAGGAATTACATTAGCCTGTTGCTACCATACTTAACTATACTGCTAGCTTGCTATTTCGTGTTTAATAGTTTCAGGCTTGCTCCAGTTGTACAAGAAAAAAAGAGATTCCACTAACTGTTGTAAAATTTGAGAGAAAAGTTGTAAAATGACCAGGAATTATATTAGCCTGTCGCTAGTGAAGTGAATACTTAACTATACTGCTAGCTGTCTTAGATGAGGTTTGGCACAACAGCACGCACACCAGCAGCAATAGCTTGTTTCTGCATGTCAAATTCAAATTTAAAAGTATATAGAAAAAGCTTTATTTGTCAGTGCACACTTACACACAGGATAAGAAATATCATGAATTAAAACACATTGATTTGCCATTTTTTACACATACAACATATAAAGTACTGTTTAAAATATGTAATGCAAGTATGTCATCCTGTAATCCTTTTTTTTTTTGCCATGTTACAGCTGCCACAGATATCCTCATATCATCCCTGAGTCTGGTCTACTTAGTAAGGACTGTGATTGATTCATGATGTGCCGGCATTCCAACCCCATGCCAGCTGCACATTAGACACAATGGGGAGATTGTGCCTGTGGCTGACTGGGGGACAGCTGCCTGAGGCTGTTGCTGGGAGCGATGATGATATGTGGTTACAGGACACAGATGACCAGTTAACAATACAGACCAAGGTAATTATAAAATGATTATTGTTTAAAGGATCATTCCTAAATTAAAAAAAAAAAGAATACTCCTGTCAGAATGTGTCAATGGTACACAGCAGATAGGGGCCAACCAAATAGTTTTGATTGTAGGCTCCTCTAGGTCCCTGGTTAGGACACTGATCCAACAATTGTTCCTCCTATGTGTGCCATGTGGGGTCAATCCTTGTCCACCTACTGTACTATCACCAGTAACTGATAAAAAAAAAATAGCAAGGGTGCACACAGTGTCAGAACGTCTGTTAAATCACGTGAATGGAGTAAAGGGAGCTCAGGCTAGAAGATTAAAGATTGTAAATTGTCTTTAAAAATGCCACAGCACATAAAAACTTATAAATAGACATCCATGCCTTAGGATATAACAAAGTAGCAATAAAAAATGATGTCATGAATGAAGAATGTAACCATGAAGAAAAATAGCTCAATGTTTATTTGTATGTATTTTACCAGGTAAATATCTTTGAAACAAAAACAGTCATAAAATGACGCAATGGTAACGTGAGGCAACCTGAACTAACTAAAACTAGCATGGCATAAGATTCTTAATGTTAGCAAAGAACACACTAAAGAGTTAGAATTAGGCCAAATTCAGACTTGCAATAACTAAGTTAAATTTTAAGTTACCAACAAACTTTGAAATTTTGAACTCTGGCCCTGAAACAGTTGAAAAAGTAAAACAAATTAAATTTTGCTACTCTTCATAAACATAGCCTGAAAGTATTTTAAAATATCCTTGACTTGAATCCCAGTTGATGTGTGCAAAATTAGCCTCATCGTAAAAGAAAATCAAACTCTTAATCTACCATGAATGTGCATGTGATCAGGGGCTGACCTTTACGGAGGTGAAAAGTGTGAGAGTGTGGTTGCAGAAAGTGATTCTCTCATCTCTGGGCCCAGCCCAGACAGATTCCTGTGAACTTTTACAGCTACGCCCAGTTTAAAGCTTTAAAGAAGTAAATGCTGTTATCCCACCTGTCAGGATCTGCACAGATTGCATCACCCATCTTACCCGCTGTTCCAATCTCTGACACATATGCTTAGTGATGTGTTTCAGAGATTTTATAGTCGACACATGCGCCGTCTGCCTGTTGTTTTGCACTGACAGAGTGAACAGGAGTTACCCAACTGCAGCACGGCCCTGCGAGGCAACAACAACTGCTGAAACCAACTGTTGTTTGGTATTTTGGGGGGGAAGGCATGATGGAAGAGGTTTGCAATGTTTTGTGGCAAAGAAAAATATAGCCTCTATTTAGAAATGGCTCGTTTGGTTAACATTCTTACTTAACCATGGTACATAAAAGCCCTAAGTACGCTGCTATAAAAACCAGCTCAGAATAAAGTGAAGAATGGGGGAAATAACACCCGTTATGGTGACAAATGTTATATTCTGCTTCTAAATATATGTTGCCAAAAAATGTAATCCTCATGTTTTAGACTAGTGGACCGGTTGACATTCTTTCATTGTTTTCCTAATGTTTTTCAATTCAATTGGGCACATATTTGCATCATACCGCAGCCATACTGTTGTTCTCCCCAGTATGGTCACAATGCTCTTCTATAAGTTCCGACTGTCCAGTCCTGCTTCATGCATGTGCGTCCATCAGCCTTGGCTTTACGGAGATATTCCTTGAAGGTTTAAATGTACTGATTCGACTTCCGTTACGGCAGGATTAGGTCAACAGCACCAGTCAGTCCAGAATGATGTAATAGAGCATGATCTAAGTTTTGAGGCCAGATGATTAAATCATACATTTTCCTTTAATTTGGGGGTTATTAAACGAACAGAGCTTCTCTGTGTGAGTTACTAGGGACGACGATTGGCATGTGCCTCAGGTCATTTTCTCGCTCATGGTTCATTTATATTCTGTAAAAAGAAGAGAAATTAGTACTTTGTAGCACATTTTATTAGTGAAGCTGTGTTTTCAATCAGCAATTAACCAACAAGCTGTGGTTTATAAGTGAGGCCATGAGGCGGCATGAGAAGGCCTATTTTTGGACAAAGCATAAGGAAGATGTCCGAAACCAGTTTTTAAATTATTGCCTGAAATAGTTGTAATTTTTTTTTCTTTATAAATTCAACCAATCATAGAGTATATTTTACTATTACACAGATCAGTGAAGGTAAGCTAAAACATCAATTTTGCAGCCTTGTATCAAAAATGTCAGGTTTTAATGTCAGATAAGATTGGAAGTTTAATCAATGGACCAATACTGAAGTTTAAAAGTGCTTTAATCCAAGTGTCACAAATACAATGTATTTTTTTGGAGTCACATGACTGAGACGCTGAAAAAATATATAGTTGC